AAAATATTTATGATGATGTGAAGCTGCAGTAGAGAGAGTCTCTGGGTGAGATAAGAGAAGGCAGATCTGAGGTTTCCCTGACAGACAAGGTGACTCAGTGTGTGTAAACAAGAACGCCTCCATCTCCCCCCTGAACCACCGGGGTTAACACCTCTGTCCGTCATTCTGGGCCATCTTCATTGTGGTGTGAGGAGATGGGAACACACTCTCAAAGAGCACAGACTGCCGCCGCTGGGACGAGATGAGGAGGAAGAGGTGTATGAGATCCCAAAAAAAAAAATCAGATAAGGTCGACAATATTTTTCGTCTGCAAGAAATCCCTTCAAGCACGGCTGAGTTTTTGGGTGATACAGCAAAAGATAGGGCTGCAGGATTTGGAGAAATAACTAAATATCACCCAATACATGTGCAAACACTATATTCAAAAACTTGCTTGAAGAATGTTGGCCACTTCGAGCGTTAGAACTATTAACGAAGCACTTTTATACTAATAAAGGACTGGCTTACCTAAAGCCAGTTGAGTAGCACTTGAAATGTTTGGCTCTATGAAGCCTGATGTACTTATATGATTCTGTTTTCTTCAAGGTTGTGTCTTCCTGGTCGAATGTACTTATTGTAAGTCGCTTTGGATAAAAGCGTCAGCTAAATGCAATGTAATGTAAAAGAACAGAAAATCCTCTGAGAGAAAGTACTCACTGTATGGAAAAATGGCCTCTGTATGCAATATATTATTATATATTTTTACATTATTAGATGGTTAATAATATTGCATCAAGTTAGGGTGTAATTGTGCCTCCTCAGTATTGATATTTCATCTCGGTGTATATTTCTCGCTCTGTTTTGAGCATGAGGCTGTTTTTGTGTTTGTTTGACCTTCACCATCCTGCCTTCATGCTGCCTGTCTGCCAGTATTAGAGGCTTCAGTGAGAGGCAGTAATAACCAGCAAGCCCCTGGTAGCCCGTCAACTCAGCCTCCAGAGAGGACATCACGACAGCCACCATGATGCTGCAGATTACAGACACCATGACCCATGACTCTGCAGAGTACAGACACCATGACTCTGCAGATCAAAGCCACCATGACGTTGCAGATTATAGCCACCATGACTCTGTAGATTACAGACACCATGACGCTGCAGATTACAGACACCATGACGCTGCAGATTACAGCCACTATGACCCATGACACTGCAGATTACAGCCACTATGACCCATGACACTGCAGATTACAGCCACTATGACCCATGACACTGCAGATTACAGACACCATGACACTGCAGATTACAGCCACTATGACCCATGACTCTGCAGATTACAGACACCATGACGCTGCAGATTACAGACACCATGACGCTGCAGATTACAGCCACTATGACCCATGACACTGCAGATTACAGCCACTATGACCCATGACACTGCAGATTACAGCCACTATGACCCATGACGTTGCAGATTACAGACACCATGACACTGCAGATTACAGCCACTATGACCCATGACGCTGCAGATTACAGCCTCCACGACTCTGCAGACTCCAGCCACCATGACAATACAGATTACAGCCACCATGATCCATGACACTGCAGATTATAGCCACCATGATCCATGACACTGCAGATTATAGCCACCATGACGCTGCAAATTACAGCCACCATGACTCTGCAGATTACAGCCACTATGACTATACAGATTACAGACACCATGACTCTGCAGATTATAGCCACCATGACTCTGCAGATTACAGCCACTATGACTATACAGATTACAGACACCATGACTCTGCAGATTACAGACACCATGACTCTGCAGATTATAGCCACCATGACTCTGCAGATTACAGCCACTATGACTATACAGATTACAGCCACCATGACTCTGCAGATTACAGACACCATGACTCTGCAGATTACAGACACCATGACTCTGCAGATTACAGCCACCATGACTCTGCAGATTACAGCCACCATGACGCTGCAAATTACAGCCACCATGACTATACAGATTACAGCCACCATGACTCTGCAGATTACAGCCACCATGACGCTACAGATTACAGCCACCATGACGCTGCAGATTACAGCCACCATGACGCTACAGATTACAGCCACCATGACTCTGCAGATTACAGCCACCATGACTCTGCAGATTACAGCCACTATGACTATACAGATTACAGACACCATGACTCTGCAGATTACAGACACCATGACTCTGCAGATTATAGCCACCATGACGCTACAGATTACAGCCACCATGACGCTGCAGATTACAGCCACCATGACGCTACAGATTAAAGCCACCATGACGCTGCAGATTACAGCCACCATGACGCTGCAAATTACAGCCACCATGACGCTACAGATTACAGCCACCATGACGCTGCAGATTACAGCCACCATGACGCTACAGATTAAAGCCACCATGACTCTGCAGATTACAGCCACCATGACGCTGCAAATTACAGCCACCATGACGCTACAGATTACAGCCACCATGACGCTGCAGATTACAGCCACCATGACGCTACAGATTACAGCCACCATGACGCTACAGATTACAGCCACCATGACGCTACAGATTACAGCCACCATGACGCTACAGATTACAGCCACTATGACGCTGCAGATTACAGCCACCATGACGCTACAGATTACAGCCACCATGACGCTGCAGATTAAAGCCACCATGACGCTGCAGACTACAGCCACCATGACGCTACAGATTACAGCCACTATGACGCTGCAGATTACAGCCACCATGACTCTGCAGATTACAGACACCATGACTCTGCAGATTATAGCCACCATGACTCTGCAGATTACAGCCACTATGACTATACAGATTACAGCCACCATGACTCTGCAGATTACAGCCACTATGACTATACAGATTACAGACACCATGACTCTGCAGATTACAGACACCATGACTCTGCAGATTACAGACACCATGACTCTGCAGATTACAGCCACCATGACTCTGCAGATTACAGCCACCATGACTCTGCAGATTACAGCCACCATGACGCTGCAAATTACAGCCACCATGACGCTACAGATTACAGCCACCATGACGCTGCAGATTACAGCCACCATGACTCTGCAGATTACAGCCACCATGACGCTACAGATTACAGCCACCATGACGCTGCAAATTACAGCCACCATGACGCTACAGATTACAGCCACCATGACGCTACAGATTACAGCCACCATGACTCTGCAGATTACAGCCACCATGACGCTGCAAATTACAGCCACCATGACGCTACAGATTACAGCCACCATGACTCTGCAGATTACAGACACCATGACTCTGCAGATTACAGACACCATGACGCTACAGATTACAGCCACCATGACGCTGCAGATTACAGCCACCATGACTCTGCAGATTACAGACACCATGACGCTGCAGATTACAGCCACCATGACTCTGCAGATTACAGCCACCATGACTCTGCAGATTACAGACACCATGACGCTACAGATTACAGCCACCATGACGCTGCAGATTACAGCCACCATGACTCTGCAGATTATAGCCACCATGACTCTGCAGATTACAGCCACTATGACTATACAGATTACAGACACCATGACTCTGCAGATTATAGCCACCATGACTCTGCAGATTACAGACACCATGACTCTGCAGATTATAGCCACCATGACTCTGCAGATTACAGACACTATGACTATACAGATTACAGCCACCATGACTCTGCAGATTACAGCCACTATGACTATACAGATTACAGCCACCATGACTCTGCAGATTACAGCCACTATGACGCTGCAGATTACAGCCACTATGACTATACAGATTATAGCCACCATGACTCTGCAGATTACAGCCACCATGACTCTGCAGATTATAGCCACCATGACTCTGCAGATTACAGCCACCATGACGCTGCAAATTACAGCCACCATGACTCTGCAGATTACAGACACCATGACTCTGCAGATTATAGCCACCATGACTCTGCAGATTATAGCCACCATGACGCTGCAAATTACAGCCACCATGACGCTACAGATTACAGCCACCATGACGCTGCAGATTACAGCCACCATGACGCTACAGATTACAGCCACCATGACGCTACAGATTACAGCCACCATGACGCTACAGATTACAGCCACCATGACGCTACAGATTACAGCCACTATGACGCTGCAGATTACAGCCACCATGACGCTACAGATTACAGCCACCATGACGCTGCAGATTAAAGCCACCATGACGCTGCAGACTACAGCCACCATGACGCTACAGATTACAGCCACCATGACGCTACAGATTAAAGCCACCATGACGCTACAGATTAAAGCCACCATGACGCTACAGATTACAGCCACCATGACGCTACAGATTAAAGCCACCATGACGCTACAGATTACAGCCACCATGACGCTACAGATTACAGCCACCATGACGCTACAGATTATAGCCACCATGACGCTACAGATTACAGCCACCATGACGCTACAGATTACAGCCACCATGACTCTGTAGATTACAGCCACCATGACTCTGTAGATTACAGACAACATGACGCTGCAGATTACAGGAATAAATAAAGAACGAGTTTTTTAGTCTAAAAATGTATTTTTATTTTGTTATTATTTAAATGTTTTATTAATGTATTATTTTATGTATTAATTCATTTTGTTTTATGTCACTTTTACTGATTGGGTTCTCAGTTGTTTACTTTTGGATTCTTTTATTGTATTTTTTCTCATCATTTTTCCCTTTGAGGACTAAATGTGTACATGCTGTATGTGAGCTAATACGTTTTAACATTTGACATTATTTCAATCTTATTTCCTGTGTGTCTCATGTTGTGTGCATCCTTTGCATGAAAAGTGCTATATAAATAAACCTTTATTGAAATAATGATTATTAATGCAGATCTACCTGGGTGAGCAGCTTCATCCCGCAGTGTGGTGAGCACACAGCGCCCTCTGGTGGAGAAACATTCAAACAACCACTTGTTATTTTTCAGTTTTAATCTCATATTAAAACACATTACAAAGTCAGAATGCAAATAACCTCATTTGTTAAATTAAATAATAAGAAATGATAGAACCGGACTGTGTTGATGCGAGCCTGAACCATCAATGAATCCATGTTTAAACAGAGGCCTATGACTTTAGTCTGCAAACCAATAAATATGATAACACTACTTTTACAAGTGTAAAATAAATGCATACCTAGTTTGACATTAACTTTATATATTGACTTAAAGCCCAGTAGCTCACACTGTCTATCATACTGAGATGGGTGAAGGAAATGCATGGAGTGTGAGGATGATACAAAAAAACACAGAGAATACGTACATGAGCGTTTCCAGTGAGAGGAGTTTTCATTAAACTATGCACATTAAAAACAATCCTAAAGAAATGTTCAGAGAGCAGGCAAACTGTCTTCCTGTCGTCACAGACAGACGAAACAACACACCACGATACAAACAGTGCAATTCTTCCCACGGTGCATCAGCGACACCAACACTGTCCCTGGTAATGAGTCTGATCCACAGTGAGAGGTGTGAAGTGTGGAGTGTCTACAGCTGCAGGGCTCTTCTGTCCTCACGTGGCTTAAAGGAGGATTCCACATCATTACAACTCAGGTGGTTTTGGAGCTTTAGCAACAATTTCTATATGTTTTAAAAGACATTGTACTGATAAAGGTCGCTGATGAGATAAGGGCAACACACACGAGCAGGGAGACAGATTACTTTAGTATTTTGCACTAAAGATTTTGTATTGTAAATGTAGATGTGAAGCACCATCATGACCAAAATAAAGGTTAGACATCAGGCTAATTATACTGTACATCTCTTTAAAAAATGAAATGGTTTTCCTCTATTTTGAAATGTTAACTGATTGGTAGTAATATGAGCAGAACTGTACAAATGAGACTTGAATTTGTCTGTGTAAGTTAGTTTGTAAATGTATGTTTTGTTTTACGAGGTCCCGTCTTACTTGGATTCATCCAGACTTTCATACATTTGGAGATTTTCCGTTCACTGTCGAAGCATGTAAGAAACTATTCTCCAAGAGTTCAAGGTAATACAGGGAGAGTTATTGATATACAAATGGTCATTTTGGTGATGATGAAGTATTCTTTTTAGCTCTAAATCTGTACCCAAGGTAATTATGTTAACATGTTCTTGCCGAATCAGACATCTCCTCACAGCTATGGACCTGATGGGAAACCATGTTTAAGGAAATTCTAATTCAGCCCTTTTAATAAAACCGCAAGTGAACACACAACATGTTGGGAATCATCGTACAGGAAAACTTTGGGCACACAAACACTTTTTTTGTAAGATTTCTTGATTTTTGTTCTGCCCCATCTCAGTATGTAACCTGATGAGTACAATGTCATTATAACAGCTAGAAATCTGAGCCAAAACTACTAATACTTCAAGTTGTAATAAACCGCAATTGTACTTAAAATGCAAAACTGACATAAGCAACAGAATATTTGTTGTTGTGAAGCCTCTTTGTTTCAATACAAATGTTAAGGGATCATGTGCACACACACACACACACACACACACACACACACACACACACACACACACACACACACACACACACACACACACACACACACACACACACACACACACACACACACACACACACACACACACACACACACACACACACACCAAAAAAAGGAAATATGGCTATGACTACTAGTCTATTTACCAGCTCATAGAGTCCTGTCGTGAACCTGGAAATGTCGATTACCCCAACGTTTTTATGTAAGAAATATAAAGTACGGGTCCCCAGCTAACTTTCACAAGTTGGGCAATATGCTAAATTAGCATAAGTTGCATTAATAAGCATTAATGAGCATATACATACAATAGTTATTGAGGATGTTGAATTAATTTCTGCCATTTTCAGAGCAGTTTTAACCAGAAAGTGGCCATACCTGTACTCCCGGGGACTGATTTTGATGAATTTGGGTCCATTTGAACGTTTTAGGGATCTCAAAACTGCATTCTAACATAAAAATGTGGGGTACTCAACATTTCCGGGTTCACATTGCTGGCAGGTAGACTGTTCCCCTAGAGCTTGGTCTTAGGCCAAGGCAAAGATTGGATTCGGAGATTCAGTATTTAAAGTCTGACAGTCCGCGGGATAAAATAAGAGAGTCTCATTTGTCCTTGTGTTCTTCCTGAGTGTTGTCCTCTATGACCACGATCTGGATGCCCGACAGCTGTCCGCTGGCGTCCAGCTGCAGCCCCTCCACCCCCCCAGTCTGCACCTCCTGCATTTGGCACTGCGTCTCCTCCATGCCGGTCTGCATCATCATGGCGTCCTGACCCGAGTCCCCGCTCAGCTGCAGCTCCATCACGCTCACCGCCTGCTCCATGGGCGCCGGGTTGATCTCGATGACCGTGTGGTCCTGTCCCACCTCGCCCTGAAGAATCACAATCAAACTTTATTTATATAGTACTTTTCATACACAAAAGGTAACTGCAAGTGCTTCACTAACCAAACACACAGACAATTTACAAAAACAAACATGACAATCTCCCCGTTCCCAGGTAATAACCAGAGTAACACACAGCTTTGTGATTAAAAGAACACTTGTAACCAACGCATATATATATATGTATTACACGGCTTAGTTGAATGCTCGATTCTGATTGGTCAATTTGGAAATCTCTAAGGTTGTTAATACTCGATAACACACACTGCTGCTAAGCCAAATAATGACCGGTGCTAAGGAAAATCAAGGTGGAAAGGGAAAGAGGTTGGACTGCAGATAAATCACCAGAAGAAGACAGACAGGAAGTAAACACTAACATGAACACGATATGGGCTCTGCAGTGCTTAGGCCTTGTTAGTGGAAAACAGTCACAGAAAATATCGATCAGAGTTACGTTAGTGTTGCGCCGTGGAGTGAAGTATTTTCTATCTATCTATCTAGCAAAAGTTAGATATCTATTTAACAGGCTAGCTAGCAAAAGTTAGCTTTCTATCAATCTATCTATATACCTAGTTAGCTGGCTTACCTCAGCTACCCATCTAACAAGCTAGCTAGCAAATGTTACCTATCCAACTACCTATTGCCAATTATTACATGGCTTAGTTGAATACTCTATTCTGATTGGTCAATTCAGAACACGTGACACGTTGTTAATCCAGAACAGACAGACCGCTGTCAAGCACTTATTGACCGTTGTTAAGGACGCTCACATCTGCACAAAGAAGTCTGTTACATGCGTGGTTCCTAAATGATTAGATTCAAGGCTTTTATTCTCATGTGTACATAGCTACAGTGTAGTTATGTCAATGAAATTCACAGCCTCCTCCAACAGTGCAACACAATAAAACAGATAATAGTGCAAGTAAATAAAATTGAATATAATAGAAATAGTGCAGAATAGTCTGCTTACTGCACATATTTCTTGTTTCATATTTCAAATTTTACATCCTATAATTCATTCATAGCATTCTATTTCCATGTAAATTACTGCTTTATTTTATTGCTATTTAACTATATTCTATTATGGTGTCCTTAAAGATTTCTTGTTTTGTATTTTATGTCTGCACCATGACATCTGCACCATTGTGGTATGTGTGAACCTACCTGGCAATAAACCTGTTTCTGTTTCTGATACAAGTAATTGGAATATTGATATATATAAGTTGCAAACAGATGAAAGTTAGCAGGGTCTATGCAGGAATCCTGAAGTTAAATGTAAAACCTTTTAAGACCTTTTTTAAGACCATTTTCATACATTTTAAGACCTCATCGTCACTTGGAGTTTTAACCGGTTACCTTGGCGACACACTTTACCTCACATTCCCTATATACAGTATTGAGTGTCCTTCCTCCTTATCTTCCAACCATTTGGACGCAGACTTGCATTTCCCCATAACGATGCTGTTTAACAACCGGCGTAAACGGACCTTCGCGCTATCAAGCAGTGAGCGTGCGATGTCCTGTTCAGATGACATCAAATCCAACGGGATTCCATAAATAAACTACACAGAATCACACTCCACACCTACGCCATGATTACATTCAGGCACACTGTAGAATACAACCTCTTTGGACCATTTATATACTTATTGAAAACAAGCTACAAAATGTAACACCTTGGAAAATGCAGTTTAATACTTTTTAATAGCCTTCATTTTCGCTAAATTGATTTATCAACTTGTAATACTTTTTAAGACCCCGCGGACACCCTGGTTATGGATGTTCTTTAAAAAGTTCAGGTCTTGAACAGTCTCTATCCATCTAAAACAAAGAACAAGATGTAGTCACCTCCTGATGCACCAGCATGGCTCCGTCCACCATCTGTCCCTCGAGGGCCATCCCCTCTCCGCCCCCTTGCTGGGTGAGCTGCAGCAGCTCCACGGGGCTCACCATGGTGCCCAGCTGCCCCGAGTCCTGCAGCGCGGTGCCCAGCAGTGTGAGGCCGGATGACGGGTGCAGCGTGATGGTGTCCGTCTTCCCGTCCCCGGCCAGCATGTAGCGGGTGAAGAGCTGCGAGCCGGCGGGCAGCAGCGTGACGGTGTTGGAGGAGGAGAGGCCGGCCATGGTGAAGGGCTGCCCCATGGAGGTGAGGGAAATCGGGGAGAGCACGGTGAACTGCTGGGGCTGCAGGGTCTGCTGCTGGGTGATGGGGGAGGAGAGGAGGGTGGCGCTGGTGGAGGCGGGTCTCTGCAGGCGGGGGCGTTTGGGGCGGACGCTTAGGGGGGGTTTTTGTTTTGGCCGCGGGCTGAGGGCAGGAGAGCAGAGCCCGGACCTGCTGCTGCTTCCTCTGGTCCTCCAGCTGCACCTCCAGGTCTACACACATCACAACGTCAGCGCATTTATTAACGATCAGACTGCTCATGTTTCTAATATTAATATTTGTTATCAGTACTTATTTGAGATGTATCTGAATGTCAAGTCTAATCTCAAAACTCACATAAAACTCAATAATTTAAAGTGGCAACAGACAGTGTTATTATTTGCAAAGACAATTGATTTCTTTCTATTTCTTTCTAAAAACAGGACGCTCGATCTGCTTCTATAAACAAGAAACAATCGTAAGATCACAAATCATTTTTCTCCATTACTAAAAAGCAGATTTTGCACGTGCCAATAGTGATATTTGGAAATTGTTATGACTAATCTCATACACACACATTAAACTCAAATGAAATGTCTTCGATGTTTGTTGTCATATTTAGTATCAAGAGTGGCATCATGTGCGGACAAGTGGATATTTTTCAGATTTTCTCGGAGCTTCCAAACACACAGGACACACACACACACACACACACACACACACACACACACACACTGCATTTGTTTCCAAACCAACTGTACAACAGAGACAATGATAACATATGTTCTGTCTGTTGATTTTTATATAAACAGGATGATTAATCTGCTTGTTTATATATATATATATATATATATATATATATCGTCGTTAGCAACATGGCTAATGTATTGCTAGCAGCCTTGCTACTATTCAAAGCAATTAATTTGTCTTACTAAATTAATTTGAGTCATTCTTTTGATATACCGTAACATTATTTGGAGACACAAAGTCGTGTTTTAGAACTTGTAAATAGTAGTACATGTTATCTAATGTGATCGGATGTAAAGAGGTGTGTGTGTGTGTGTGTGTGTGTGTGTGTGTGTGTGTGTGTGTGTGTGTGTGTGTGTGTGTGTGTGTGTGTGTGTGTGTGTGTGTGTGTGTGTGTGTGTGTGTGTGTGTGTGTATGTACTCACTGCTGAGCGTGCAGAGGACCTGCTCCTGGCTCGGGTCCGTCTGCTGCCTCCTCGTCTCCACGATCCTCTTCACTGAGTCCAGCAGGCCGAACACCTGAGCCAGGTTACTGAGCACCGCCACCTCTACCAGACAGGAATCTGGGATCAGTGCGGCAATCAGTCACAGGGTCACTCAGTGAGTCAGAGAGGAGGAACAAATCCAGCCGGGGTAAACATTCAAACACTAAGTATTTACTCATTATCCGTACACAAATCACACATTGAAAAGGCTTTCTGATGTTTGGCAATTTCACCCATCAGCTTCTGACAGCAGCTGAATTTGTTCCTCCATCCGTTCAGTCCTTGTCAAGCACTTTGGAGCGAGATTTAAATACATGTTTTTTCTAAAGCTGTCAATAGATTTTTCCTGTCGTGTGTTATAAAGGGTTTAGTGCATGTAAATGGTCTGTAAGGCTAAAATCCCTGTGTTCCCTCCAGAGGGAGTTTCTCACTCCAAACTTTCTTCCTCTCAAACTACAGGGCAGGCCGAGGGTCGTAATCACAGAACATGCACAAACGGCTCTTATAAAAGCGTCCTTAAAAGTCCCCTGCTATACTGTTTCTCATCAATATATTATAGATCTCAGATATATACCTGTCTCTGATTGGCTGAAACACCAAACAGATCATTGCAGCATTACCCATAATCCCCTCTGTTTTAGCCCTGTTTCCAAAGTGCTGATTCTCTGTCTGTTACTTTAGATGAAAATAAGGAGCCACTCCCCACGCCCCTCTGAGAGAGATTTGGTTACAAAGACCACAATGGTGCTCTAGGAGGAGATTCAGGTGATAAGGGGGGGGGGGGGGGGGGGGGGTTACCTTGGTTGGTGATTGGCTAATGGTTACACAAGACAAAACATCGTTATGACATCATAAAGTGGCCAAAATCTGATCAGCTCATTTTCAGACAGGTTTTTATAGAAATGGATCAAAAAGAGAGAGAATCTTTGTTCCTGAAACTTTCAGAGTCTCTTTACCCAGAGGGGACACATGTTGATGTAGAAGAGACATGAAGAAGAGGGGACACATGTTGATGTAGAAGAGACATGAAGAAGAGGGGACACATGTTGATGTAGAAGAGACATGAAGAAGAGGGGACACATGTTGATGTAGAAGAGTCATGAAGAAGAGGGGACACATGTTGATGTAGAAGAGACATGAAGAAGAGGGGACACATGTTGATGTAGAAGAGACATGAAGAAGAGGGGACACATGTTGATGTAGAAGAGTCATGAAGAAGAGGGGACACATGTTGATGTAGAAGAGACATGAAGAAGAGGGGACACATGTTGATGTAGAAGAGACATGAAGAAGAGGGGACACATGTTGATGTAGAAGAGACGTGAAGAAGAGGGGACACATGTTGATGTAGAAGAGACATGAAGAAGAGGGGACACATGTTGATGTAGAAGAGACATGAAGAAGAGGGGACACATGTTGATGAAGAAGAGACATGAAGAAGAGGGGACACATGTTGATGTAGAAGAGACATGAAGAAGAGGGGACACATGTTGATGTAGAAGAGACATGAAGAAGAGGGGACACATGTTGATGTAGAAGAGACATGAAGAAGAGGGGGACACATGTTGATGTAGAAGAGACATGAAGAAGAGGGGACACATGTTGATGTAGAAGAGACATGAAGAAGAGGGGACACATGTTGATGTAGAAGAGTCATGAAGAAGAGGGGACACATGTTGATGTAGAAGAGACATGAAGAAGAGGGGACACATGTTGATGTAGAAGAGACATGAAGAAGAGGGGACACATGTTGATGTAGAAGAGACATGAAGAAGAGGGGACACATGTTGATGTAGAAGAGACATGAAGAAGAGGGGACACATGTTGATGTAGAAGAGACGTGAAGAAGAGGGGACACATGTTGATGTAGAAGAGACATGAAGAAGAGGGGACACATGTTGATGTAGAAGAGACATGAAGAAGAGGGGACACATGTTGATGTAGAAGAGACATGAAGAAGAGGGGACACATGTTGATGTAGAAGAGACATGAAGAAGAGGGGACACATGTTGATGTAGAAGAGACATGAAGAAGAGGGGACACATGTTGATGTAGAAGAGACATGAAGAAGAGGGGACACATGTTGATGTAGAAGAGACATGAAGAAGAGGGGACACATGTTGATGTAGAAGAGACATGAAGAAGAGGGGACACATGTTGATGTAGAAGAGACATGAAGAAGAGGGGACACATGTTGATAAAAGACATGAAGAAGTGGATTTTGCATAATAGGTGACCTTTAAGGTATTTGCGTTATCTTTGACAGCCCTAGTGCGTGATGCTGTGTACCTGTGTCCTGTAGGGCCGCCGGCTCCCTGCGCTGCTTCACCCCGTTCAGCAGCTCCTGCAGCTCCGAGCTGATGTTGGTCACCACCTCTCCCAGCAGACCCACATCAGCAATGCCCTTCCAGAAGTTCAGCGTGTCCTCTGTGGAGACACAAACACAGCAAAGTCACACGTGTGCTCCGAGTGTGATCTGTGAATGAAGTAATGGTGATATTAACTCTCTGCGTAGTGTGTGCTCTGTGGGACCTGAGATCTCGCTGGTCTCCTTCTTCTCTGCAGCCTCCAGTGAACTGGTGATCCAGTCCATCTTGGCACTCAGAGTCTCGGCTCTGTCCTCGCCCGCCGTGCTGCCGTTACCCAGAACCAACTGAGCTGTACGTCACACATTATGGCAAATTCAACATACAGATATAAGAAATTACCTTTCAAAAGCACAACAATAAAGACGTAGGATAATGTGAGTTTTGTTGAATGCTACATTGAAAACATGCAGCAGATTTTTGGCAGCCACATATAAAGGCGAAAATAATAAGTGAACTAATTATTTTAATATACCAAGTCATTATTTTGACATTATTAGTCTTCCATTAGTTACTAAGCCGTTCTTTTCATAAAAATAGTAAATATTCTGAGTACATTCAATTGAGATACTTTGTCTTAATTTGAACATACTTCATAATTCTGAAACACTAAATCATTATTTAAAGAATATTTATAATACAAGTCTGGTATAACAATGCCTCAAAACTAAAAGTGTAAAACAGCAGAAAATAATCACAAAATAGCTCATCATGTTGGGGAAATTAGTATTTTATTGCAGTCTTAAATCGCTTTTGTTCCGATTTATCAGTAAATCAGACATGAATGTGACCTCTGTGTGTGTGTGTGTATAGCCTAGCATTACTATCCTTGTGGGGACCTAAATCTGTTTACATAGTCAAGTGTGGGGACTCGCCTCCCTTATGGGGACATAATTCAAAAAACACCTCAAACACCATCTGTTCACTCAGGCCTTTGGCCTCAACTAATATACAGTACTCAGCAACCTGTTCCTGTTTTGTTTTCTTCAGCCTATGTATCTGTATGATTATTATTACTTTTTGTTTTGTTTTGTTACTTCCCATTGTAAAGCGTCCTTGGGTTTCGTGAAAGGCACTATATAAATTGAAATTATTATTATTATTATTATAATGGAGGTCCCCACGAGGGGAATCATTCATTTTAGGGTGAAGACTTGGTTAGGGTTAGGGGGGTAAGGGTTAGGGTTAGGCATGTGTTGGTTATGATTAAGGTTAGGATAAGTCTCCAGGAAACGCATGTAAGTCAATGTAATGTCCCCTGAAGTGATGTATGCATGGTATGTGTGTGTGTGTGTGTGTGTGTGTGTGTGTGTGTGTGTGTGTGTGTGTGTGTGTGTGTGTGTGTGTGTGTGTGTGTGTGTGTGTGTGTGTGTGTGTGTGTGTGTGCTCACCCTGAGAGGAGGTGCCTGTGCCGTCGGGGGGGAAGCGTGTGTTGTTGATCAGAAGGTCAAACTTGGTGCTGCGACACGTGTTGGTGCACAGCGTGTTGTGCTCATAGAAGTCCAGCTGACCCGAATCCATCATTTTTCTAGAGAGCAGAAATGAGGAAGGGGTTCGGACAGTTAGTCAATGTTTAATTGGACACCGATGATCCCATCAATACTACCAAAAGGAATTGCAACCTTTATCAATGATATTTAACGTTTGGTGTATTTCTGAGCTCAGTGCACCTATTATGTATCTACTTAAAGGTAGGGTAGGTAAGAATGGAGAAACCAGCTCGAGTGCGCTAGAATTTGAAAATACACAACCAGAAACAATCTGCCCCTTCCTTCAGACTTCCTTACAGAGCCCCTCCTCCAACACACACGAACGCGCACATGACCAATGAGGGCACGAGATAGGTTTGTGCACAGATGGAAGGCTGACAGGCAGGTAGGCCATCCAGTTACTTTAGCCGGGCCGGCTCAAATGATTGGTCGTGCTTTTTACAGCGCCACGGCTTCCACAGATGAAATATTTGTATGTATTTATTGTCAAAGCATTTAATGTATTCATTGCTATCGGAATGTTAAGAGCATTCCATGGAATATAACAAAAAGTGTTTCTGAAGTTAATTACCTACCCTACCTTTAAGCATTAGATTAGATAACATTGTATCCAAAGCAAATTACAATAAGTGCAATAAACCATAAAGATATACACTCAAAAAGCGACAGAAAATAAAACCCTCTCTTTTTTCCTCCGTACCCAAATCTCGAAAAACGGGGCTAGATATTTGCGTCAGATATGACGAAATATCGGAAATGTAGGCTGGCTTTACACCCACGGCCCAATCAGAAACGTTGCTATCAGAAACAATGCCTGACTGTTTTGGACGTAATATGGTCAGTGTTTACATTAGCATCGCTAACACTCAGAGCTAACCTGTACTGGAGAGCATGTGTGTGAAGAAGCAGGAAGTAAAAAGGAACTCACCTTGTGGTATAACCGGCAAGAGAGAAAGCCTTTGAGCTCCAAACTGTTTCAGAGAGAATCCTTGATAATCCATGATATGGCGTTTCATCGCGGCAGCATTTAGTTTAGACAGTAGCTGCCGGGTCCCGCATGAGCTCAGCCCCCTCCTTTTTTTTCAATTTTTATTTTTTTAAAGCTCTATACCCAAAATCAGCACTTTTGAAACAGGAAGTGAAATAGAGGGATATGAGGCATGGCTAGAATGGGTGATCTGTTTGGTATTTTGAGCAAAACACTTCATAGACATGTTTTTTATATATTTGTATATATCTGAGACCTATGATATTGCCTAAAGATAGCATGATAGGTGAGCTTTAAATCACGCTTTAGCATATTTATTGTAGACCTATGAGTAAGCGTTTGAATGCAGACTGTGATAATTATAACGTTGTGTTCAGAGCATCGAGGCAGAATTCCGAATATTTAACCCTGGATTTCGGCTCTAATGCAGACATGAGTCTCCTCACCGCAGCATGACCCCCCCCATCCTGATGGCTCTCTTCCAGTCCTTCAGAGTGGCTTTTCCAGAAATGTGCACAAACTGCTTGGGGCTGATCAGCTGGTCTTCATACTGGCGGGGGGAAAAAAGACATTTAGTCCAGTGTAGCGGATAAAACACTAGACAAACTAAAAGCAAAATGACATACTGTACTCCTTATGTCTGATGAGGCTTTGCATTCATAAACATGCATGTTAATGTTCAAAAAGCTCTTTATTTTTCTCATACTGCCTGTAATGCCAGCACCTCTTTTCACCCTCTGTCTGAAACCAGAGACCAGTCTGCTCCGATTGGTTAGCTGGCCGGCTCTATTGTGATTGGTCAACTGCTAAGAGATGTCCCGCCCCTAAGCCTATAATGTACAATCTGTTGGAGCGCTAACTAATGGCGCGTTTCCACTGCAGGCCTCGCTCGGCCTCGCTCGGTTTGGTTAGGCCTTATTAGGCCCGGCTCACTTTAATGCTGCGCTTCTATTACAGTTTAGGAACTGGGGTAGTTACTATAGTAACGCAGTGTAGGCGGAGCCGTGACGTCATCTTCAATGAGAGCCCCAGAAAAACAACACAGCCGTTAAATCTTAGCACTCAGAGCTCACAGCTCCTCATATCTGTTCAGAAACTAGACAAAAGTTAAACAAGTACAAACCACAGACTGCCTGTGTCATGGCGAATACAGTCGCTGGTTTATTTATGTCTGTATAGGCCGTTGTTGTGAGTGTGGACGGTCGGAGCATATATAACATTAGCTTAGCCAATCTCCATTCAGAAAACACGCATTTTAAAAAAGGGTTTTCGTCTGCAGACTTGTCAAAGCATTAATTCATGGTTTTTACTAAAAAGTACTTCGGCATCATTTTGAAACGTGTATTACAATTAAATCACGGTCAAATAGGTTCATCTTGTTGTAGTTGTAGCCCCCTTGCCAGCGATTCTCTCTCTAGTTTAGCATACTCAGCCCGACTCAGCCTGGTTCTTCCTGGCCCTAGAACCACGATTTTATGGGGCCAGAAAAACTGTGAATTAGGTCCCGCTAGCCGGTACTAGGCCAAGTGGAAACGCAACCAAAAACGGGCCCCGCACGGCTCGGCACGCTTAAAGCGAGCTACCCGCTGCAGTGGAAACGCGCCATAATAGAAGCTCAAGTGTTACATATTGACTGTTACAATGGAGGCGTTTCGTGTGTGTGTGTGTGTGTGTGTGTGTGTGTGTGTGTGTGTGTGTGTGTGTGTGTGTGTGTGTGTGTGTGTGTGTGTGTGTGTGTGTGTGTGTGTGTGTGTGTGTGTGTGTGTGTGTGTGTGTGTGTGTGTGTGTGTGTGTGTGTGTGTGTGTGTGTGTGTGTGTGTGTGTGTGTGTGTGTGTGTGTGTGTGTGTGTGTGTGTGTGTGTGAGAGAGAGAAACTCACACGGAACACAGGGATTTTAGCCCCAAAATAACAATAGGTTGTTATAGTTTTAACAGCCACAGTAAGCACATATCCACTTGCAGTTGTCAACAGCATAATGCATTTTGAAGCTGACGTGTTTAAAGAGAGCAGAAATAGGAAATGTGACGCAGTTATTCTGGGACACGAGAAGTAGTGCATGTTTATTTCCTGCTGTGTGACTATTGAGTGACCTAGTTGCCGTTCAGCTGTGTACAGTCGAGTATAGCAACTATTGTAACAGTCTTTAAATGTGTCATTGTGAAGCATTTTAGCTCAAAATTAAATATTATATAGTGGAGCTTTTGTAGACATTTAGTGCAAAACTACTGCAAGTTGCAATTCGCTTTAATTAAGACTATCTCAAATGTATTTTTCCCAGATCTGATAATGTACACAAACAAACTAGCAACAGTCTGCAAGGCTCTGGAAAGGGCTGCGTGCACAAAAGGAGATTTCTGATTGGAACAAACACCTACTTTTAAACATTAAGTAAGACTTGTATATAAACAGGTTTCTGGGTGTGTGCAGATATCAGAAAGTCGACCATGTCAAGAAGGAGGTTTAAGGATTGGAAGATGCTGCAGGTGGAATATTACATATATGGGAATAACCTATTTTGTTAACCATCTAAACAGTAAGAAGGAATATTGTCTTTTATCAGAATAAGGGCACATGGTGTGGATGTTAACGTGTTCAATGTAGACTTAAAAAACTCTATAAATACCGACCTTTACACATTTAACGTTGATCCCCGGGCAAACAAACTTCTTCACCAGCAGCAAAGCTTTACAGTCTCCGCAAGTTATGGGACAGCCGATTTCAACGTCATCTCCGTCAGTTTGTTCTAAAAGAATGACACAGAACTTAAATAAATATATACATTTTTCTAATGTAATATATAGTTGTTGTCTGTTCTCTTACCTTCATGTGCTTCAACCGTCATGACGGCTGCGTCTGTTTCAGCAGATTCTTCTCTGTAAAGGAAAGTGTGTTTAATGTTTCTTCTCCGTGGTACAGAGCGGTGGTTCTTGAGCCTTTTCTATCCTTGAGTAAACTGACTACTTCTGACTAGGGAGAAATATTTCATATTAAATGTAATGCATAACAAAAACAGTGCAGATACAATTTAAAACTATAAAATGACAATAACTGCAGCGAAAAATAGGCAATTGTTATACATTTTGATCTAATCCTTTCCTGTGAATATTGCTCAGAGATAAGTTTTATTGAATTACACTTTTAGGACATTTTAATTATACATCTCAATCTGTATTATGTTTGTTGAAATAAAACTACAAAGGCTTTTTGTTTCGGACAAATTCAATGTTTCCTTCTCCATAAGCTTTTAGCTCTTTAGACGTTTTAACTTGTTTTTAAGGAACATTTAATACAATTCACACCGTTTTCTGAAAGGAAAGGCTTTCTTGATCATAAAAATGCTTCTCATTTGAGAAATTAAGTGATTATTCCCTCTAACACCTGGCCATTGTTTTATTTCCCTTCGGTTGTGATAACAAAATAGTTTAGCATTAAGGCTGTGTGAATTTAGTTTAGTTCAGGTCTTCACCGTGCCTTTATCCTGTGAGATTGAAAAGAAAAGCTATACATCTTGAATTCAAATTTTAAATGTTTTCTGCAGAATAAGAAATCAAATCCTGAGATACAGGCCAACTGAATCCAACATAAAGGCCCCTCCTTTCCTTCCATTTGGAGAATTGGAACGGCACTTAACATGGCTGCCACTGACGTACTTCCGGGACATTTCACTTGGTTAGGAAGGTTCCTAAGCTAAATGGACTATTGGAACGCAACCCCTATCTCTCTGCACTACACTATTCAACTTCAGCCTTAGCCCCAGAAAGCACATGGCTACTTAGCCTGCAAAATGAAGTCATTCTGCATGTTAAGTAGCCATGTGCTTTCGTGTTATCGGCTGAATCTTTATGTATTTATTAGAGCCGGGACTCGATTAAAAAAATTAATCTAATTAATTAGAGGCTTTGTAATTAATTAATAGAAATTAATCGCATTTTTAATCACATATAAATATTTGACCTAAGAACAGTGAGAAGCAATTTTTTTCACATGGATTTTAGTATGCCATTCGGCGCATTCACACCACAGTACTTTTCCCACAAAGGTTCATGAGAATTTAGTTCATGAGAACTCTTTGAACCTGGGGGTGGATTAGGCAAATGAAGCCGCTGACGTCACTTCTTCTTCTTCTGCTTTGGGTTTACTGGCAGGCCGCAAACCACTTCACGGCGTATACTGCCACCCAAAGTCCCCGGCCGGAAGTCCCCGGAGTTGGGGACTGGCTTCAGTAGAAGCTGCTGGGAGTCCCAGCAGCCTTCCGAGTAAATCGCCAGAACGCCGACACCTCCTCATCTCCACCGCTCCCATGTTTTATTTTGTGTTGCCATAAATTAGTCTCTCTGCGTTTCTGCGCTGGGCTAATGCTAATAATGCTAATGCGAGGATAATAAAATGGCGGCTTCACAACACTTTTTGGGAGTTTTACGGGGCGTGGTTTGCAATCCGCCCAGCCAATCAGAAATATAGCTCTTTTCTCACAAGAGAGCCGCACGAAAGTCCCTGCTCTCTAGCAGCTCTCTGCTCTCTAGCAGGGACTTTCGTGGGGGTAAAAAGGTTCTCATGAACACATTTTAGTACCGGCTCTTTTTGGTGTGACGATAAAAGACGCTAGCTAGCTATATGTTTTGCATTGAGGTGATACTTGAGGCTTGATGTGCTGCGGTGATATGCAAATTCCTTTTTGCATAATTTGCACACAACCGTGCTCTTATCGACGCTTCCATCCGTCCGTTTTTTAAAACAACATTTCCCACTGTTGTTCACTGTGGTTTGTTGTTGTCTGAAGTCATGAACGTTAGTTGGTGCTCCAGTATAATCGGTACGCCTGAAACTCATCCAGTGAGAAACGTTCCGCGGTGCAAAAATAAGTGCGATTAAAATGCGTTAATTTTTTTAACGCGTTAATTTTTGTGTAATTAATTAATCTTAATTAACGCGTTAAAGTCCCGGCCCTAGTATTTATTAGATCACAACTCGATCCTTAGAGTAATGTGTTACGGAGCCTTCTCTTCAATATTGTTTCCACATAACAAGCATTTTGCGCTGCTCTTTTCCAATGTGGAAGCAGAATGTGTGAAAGCATACAGCAGATGCGGGGTGTGTCTCTAGACATCTTTAGACTGGAATAGCGGGGCCCAGTACGTGAACTCGCCTCGCAGGTGCACAGAGGACATCAGACTCCAGAGAACATTTGCTCGAGTCCGAGTCCAAGTCGGAGCGTCAATGTACAAGTCGAGTCCGAGTCATCGTGGGGGGAAAAATTCACGAGTCCGAGTCCAAGTCAGCGTACGCGATAATTTACGAGTCCGAGTCCAAGTCATCGTGCGCGGGAATTCACGAGTCTGAGTCGCATCAATCAGTGCGCGAGTCCGAGTCGAGTCACGAGTCCCGAAAATCGGCACTCGAGTCCGAGTCCAGGGTTGCGTTCCAATAGTCCATTTAGCTTAGGAACCTTCCTAACGGAGTGAAATCATAGGAGACCCCTCTTAGGCTTAGAGGGTACCGTCTGTGCATCTTATCTACTTAGGATAAGTCTCCTTTGTCCCACTATTGTTAACCTGATGGTAGCTGATAATGTGGTATCCCTGTAGCTGTGTTTGTTAAATGATGATGTTTAAAAGTAAGTTTTTCAGTCTCAGTTAGACCACCCGTCCTCAGTACATACCATGGATGGTATATATAAAGAGGTACATACCCGGTGGGGATGGGCTGCAGCTGGAGGATGACCTGAGTCTTGTTTGGGTCATCTGGGTCACAGTCTTCAGCCTTCACCATCACCACCTCGGCCAAGGACACCGTCACCTCTCCGGCGGTCGCCATCACGCTCAGAGCAGAGAGCACGGGGGGGCTGCTTTCATAGGACAGCTATCCAGGAGTACGTTCATCTGGAGAGAGATGAATACATTAGGAAACAGAATCATAAACAGGTTACATAAACAGTAAAATATGATATATTGTAAGAAAAACTATCGATATATTGAAGAGCCCTGATCATGATATCACTTTTGTCACATGAGAAACCGTTATGCTTCATATCATCTTTGCACACTTGTAGTCAAGCAAAAGTAGCAATTATTCTCTTCCAATTAATGTTCTGTTTACCCACTCATGGAATAGTTATTTAGATATAACGTTGGATGGTTACATCTATACCACAGAAACACATATAAAGAAGCACAACTAGAAAACATGAAATACGAATCAGAATCATAAACAGGTTACATAAACACAGTTAAATAAGATAAACGTAAGTAAAACGACTGAAATATAATATCACAATATCAATATATTGAAGAGCCCTTATCATGATATCACTTTTGTCACATGAGAAACCATTAGATAGGCTTCATATCATCTTTGCACACTTGTAAACAAGCAAAAGCAGCACTTATTCTCTTCCACTTAATGTTCTGTTTACCCACTCATGGTATAGTTATTTATATATAACGTTGGATGGTTAAATCTATATATATATATATATATATATATATATATATATATATATATATATATATATAATAATCCTATTTTAAAGTAGTATTTAATGAAAGTACTCGGGTAAAGTACAAGTACCTCAAATGTACTGGAGAAAATGTACTTAGTTAGTTTCCATCCCTGGAACAGTTTGAATTAAGGCTAGCAATATTAATTATTATAAAATGTTTATTGATGTGCTTTATTTATCACAACACTATATCGACTGGTAAATAATAATAATAATAATAATAATAAGTCAGCTTTTTTGTAATCCTATTTATGCTGACGTGATCCCACTGTTTTTAAACTGTTAGATTTTGAATTAAGATGTAACGGTTAGTGTATTTTACCCACGAGCGTTTGGAAACAGAAACCACAGTTTTGCGTAATTTCGGGGGATGCTAACTGACATGGAGGCAGTTAGATCACTCGGTCCCATTTTAGATAAATTCAGCATTATTTTAGCAGCTAAAACACTCTTTTTGGAGAGGTTTATCAGGACCGAAGCCTGAATGCTGTTTAAATCCACACACACAGAAACACAGACATATAAAGTGGTATAACATGAAAATACTCAGGTAAAGTACAAGACTTGAGTAAATTAACCTAGTTACTTTAAACCACTGACGTCGTCACACTGTTTTTAAACTGTCCGATTTTGAATGAACATGTAACGGTTAGTGTGCTTTACCCACGAACGTTGTGGAACAGAAACATGCTTTAAAGGGATGCTAGTTGACATGGAGGTAAGTAGATCACTCGGTCACTTTTAAGATAAATCCAGCATTATTTTAGCGGATAAAACCCTCTATATTGTCAAAATTACGTGGGTTATCACGTTCGCTGTATGCAGTCTAATGCCTTTAGATCCACACACACTGAGGCTCGACGGTAGCCATTATGGCTCAAGCAAGGGCGTAACTATATATGTGTGTGAATCTGGACTAAAATCCACCAGCTATACACACCGAGACGGGTAACCACTTTGCATTTACAGTGTGACGGTTACGTGTGTGTGTGTGTGAACCGTACGTCCCTTCGTAACATTTTAACTCTCCCTCAAAATGACGTCTCCCTGTGCGGCGGCACGTACAGCAAACAACGGCACGGCGGCGGCGGCGTCTCCATTCTGTGCGGCCGCTGCACCCCATGCGTAAAATACACATCACTCCGCTGCTTAAAATAGTGCCAGTGTCGTGAGATCGGCTGGTGTATTACATATAAACATGTTTAAAATAACACAGTTATAAAAATAGCTCGTGCTTACCGTTTTATGGAGAGAAACGCAGCGCTAGATTGAGGAGAGCTGCGGCGCATGCGCAGTTCGGAGATACAGCTTGACTTCCTGCTGCACAGCGCTCGCCTTGTTATCTCGCTCCTGTAAACCCTGACTAAATGACCCTCAAACTCTTTTTACTGAGTGGTGACTTTATTTTATACAAGAGACATGGTGTTTTGTAATACCTGGTGTACTTATAAGCTTTACTTATAAAGATATATCTATGTAGAATGTGTCTTTCTGCTTGAATTTGCATTTTAAGTTGGTCAAATTTGAATACTGAAGCATGGAGCATTGTTTTGTTTTGCTTCAAACTTCCTACAAATTCATCCTCACGCTTTGCCAAGGTGTAACATATAGGGTTGCTTGTTTACATGTTAATTATGATGTTCATTTTCAAGATCCACGCGCAACTTTTGCAAAATTAGAGCCCATAGCTTTGCCTTTACACTTTCAAATGTAGAAAATGTGTTATTTTGCTGCTGTAAACCCGGACAAAATCCCACTCAAACTCCTTTTATTGACTATTATCTTCATTGTATACAAGAGAGATAGTATTATTTCTTACCTGAGCTTTACTTATAAAGATATATCTATGTACATTGTGTCTTTATCGTATAGTATGTGAACATTTTTAAATACTGAAGCACAGAGCATTGTTTTGTTTTGCTTTAAACTTCCTAAAAATAAATCCTAACCTTTTGGCAAGGTGTAGGGTTGCTTATTTAAATGTATATTATATTATTATGTTCATTTTCTAACATCCCTTGGCCACTTTGACACAAGGATTGACTCCTATATATGGCTATATTCATATCTTAGACTGCACTGTAACTTTTATCCATGTATTTTTTCTTACTTTTATTAGCTTTTCTTTTTAATGACTGATTTTAAATGCCATTTTCTTAATGTCTTTCATTTTTTGCAAAGCACTTTGAATTGCCTTGTGTTGAAAAGTGCTATATAAATAAACTTGCCTTGCCTATATGACTGACAAATTAAATGCATTTAGCTGTTTCTTGTATGAATCCGTATGTGACTCCCACACGATCCATCTGCTCTGGAAAATAATTAAATGTAAACTCTGGCTATTTTTATTGAATAGTATCTTTACTTTGTACAAGAGAGATAGTACAGTATATTACATACCGGATGTCCTTATAACCTTTACTTACAGATGTATTGTTGTAGAGTGTGTCTTTCTGCTTGAATCTGCATTGTCGTTGGTAAAATGTAGTGGGTGGGTGTGTGTGTGTGTGTGTGTGTGTGTGTGTGTGTGTGTGTGTGTGTGTGTGTGTGTGTGTGTGTGTGTGTGTGTGTGTGTGTGTGTGTGTGTGTGTGTGTGTGTGTGTGTGTGTGTGTGTGTGTGTGTGAATTCATTGCATGGTATTTTGAATACTGCAGCCCAGAGCCTTGTTTTGTTTTTCTTCCAACTCCCCCCCCCCCCCCTTTGTGGGTCAATGTGTATGACTATGTTCATTTCAACCCTCCATGGGCCACTTCTTTGGTACAAGGAGTGTGCATAAGAACCTTTAATTGGAGTCCTTGTGTGACTCCCACACTGTCCATCTGTTCTGGAAAAGCATTAATACTGTGGCATGATTTCTGTTGCGTTCATTCTGGAAAATATTATCTGTTTACTGGAAAATGTATTGTTCTGTCTAAAGATAAGATGAAAACAAAAAGGGCTTATGTGAGCCTGAACTCAAATGTTACTTTTTTCCCCTTAAATTATAATTAATTCAACAATGCATTTATTGGTGTTGGCCCTTGGCATGTATATTATATAACATTACCTTATTTCATTGTATGTTCATTTGGATATCCTTAATGCTTAATCAGGGTTCCCGCGGGGTCTTAAAAAGTCTTACATTTGATAATCAGAATTGAAGGCCTTAAAAAGTCTTAAATATGATTTTTTTTTTTAATAAGAAAGGTCTTAAATATGATTTAGAAGGTCTTAAAAATGATCGGATTTGAAAGGTACTTCTGCGTTGCGATCGCGTCTAATGTGTTTTGGGGGAAATGTCCGGGCTGCAAAGTAACTAGTACGCCTTTCAGTTCCCCCCAACAATTTGTATTGAAATAAATCAACATCCAACCAGTAATCACTAACTTTGTTTCCCCCGGCCCCTTAACGGAGAACACCCAGCTAGTAACCTAGCAACCAACCAAGCGTCAACTAGCGGCAGTCAGAAATCTTCGAAGTTCGAATCAATCTACTTTAAAATAAATATGGGGAAGTGTAAGTGCAACCGTACTTGGTTGGAAAACATTGAATTTAGTGCTTGGTTGAAACCAGTTGAGACGAACGTGTTTAAAGCCCGCTGCACCTTTTGCAAACAAAATTAGCGTTTGTTTTGCTAATGTAGCGTTAGCTAGTGCAGCAGTCTACGTCATCCCTAAAAGCGGAGGTGCTGTGGACGCTAAATACCGTAGCTAAACACCAATCATACAACAGCATGAAGGCAGCAGAGCTCTGGATATAGCTCATGTCACTCACTCACACACACTTTTTGTCTAACACGCTAACACAGTTCTGTTATGCTCAGTCATCGTTCTTATGTTGAACATGAATACATTTACTTTGTAAGTAATTATGGGATGTATTTCTTCTTTCATAGCAATTTTCCTTCATACTTTCTTTCCGTGAAATAGGTCTTAAATTCTATTCAAAGTGGTCTTAAAAAGTCTTACTTTTGAGTTGGTGAAACCTGCATGAACCATGTGCATATGGTATTTGTTTACCTTTGTTTCTGTTAAGAAATACCACTGCACATTTGATTTACTATATATGTTGCTTTAAATTAAAACTACTTAACGTTTCGATCAATTGTTGTCCTTACGGAAAGTTAAAATTGTGTACATGTAATTTTAGAATAGTGCCCACGTCACTTAAGATAATGCGTGGTGAATTTAATCAGACATTCCACTTTCTTATTTTTCAACATTTGATGCCGGGGCGCCAGGACACGTGATCACCAGCAGCCCCTGGGTTAAAAATTGTGCTTCCGAAATCTCTTGATAGCGATTCCGCAGAAGGGTTGGTTATCCCCACCCCTCCTGTGCCAAGCACGGCAGAAGCCCTTTTTAACGATTCTCTGAAACGACCCAGTATCGTACCAGTAGACACATGCTCCTGACTCACGGTGCAAAGTGTGTGTTGGATGTGTGTGTGTTTCCACATTCCGTATAAATGCTTTATAGTCTGTTCAATAATAACCATGTTTCATTTACATGTATGGATTGAAATATATAGGTTTAAGTCATGAATCGATGGAATTTAAGCCTGTTTGTATGTGGAGTTTGACTGCCGAAGAGCATGCTGGGTAACAAATGGGCAGGGTTAGATGAAATCCTTAGCTCTCCTTTCATTGGTCACTTGCGTTCACTAAATGTGGGGAAATCGACGAGCACATGAACATAAGCTTTTGTAAATGATGCTGGGATATTTTAGAAGCCATAATGACAGACGTTGTCTCTAAATTCAGCTGCTTATCAATCTTATGTAGGTTAAAAACATCAAATAATGAAAAAGACACAGAATCAAGGCAGCTGACACTATCATGTCAGAATTAGCCTTCAATGCGTTTGCAATGTGTGATTTGTATGTAGTAAGACATAACTCCTTTTTGTTTTGAGGGAAATGCCCACGTTTCAAGATAACCACCGAAACAGCTCATTTGCTAATATTTATACCTATTCACAATCTAGGTCATGATAGTCTTCCACCAGCAGAGGGCGCCAAACCCCAGTCAAAAAACACAGAGTCCAAACATTATTCATTGTACATCTATTTATTATTTTTTTAAACCAATCAATAAAATCACGTCAAATAAAGGCGGAACCCCTTATACATGATATATAAAATAAATGACATTATTCAGTAAAGCTGTGAAATGTGACCGTGGGGGATGAAGAGCTGAATGGGCTCTGTACGAGAAGCCCTATCAGTGATCATTTCTGCGGACAAGATAAAAAAACAAACTAGGTCTAATTCAACATTATGGGAAACGTGCTTACCTGTTTTCCTTGAGATTATGTTACATAGTATGTAGATATGTGTTTAAAGTTATTTTGCTGCTGTTGTTAGGTCAAATGTAGGTGTTGATCAATCCAAACTCAATTAAGAAACCACGCATTTTAGAAGTTGTTCGCATGTCGTCTTGCAAAAAAGCATTACTTCAGACTTTTTAACTAATCACCATAATTTCGTAGTTATTTCGGCATACTTGTTATCCGTTTAAGGCAATTCATAACAGCGAAATCTGTTTATTTTGGGTTCATACCACTGTAATAAACTAGATTAATTAAAAAGCAAATGATCCAGCGGTCAAACTTGCTGGCTCCACTTCTGTACTTTACGTACAAAAGTGATATCAGAGAAGATAACACAAAGATATATTTCCCAAAATGTTGAACAATACCTTCAAGATCACAGAGACTCTGGATCTGGACTGACTTCGGCCTCCTATATTATCATGGTCATTTACACAGGATGGTCACCGTATGTTAGATTACAAATGCTGTTATTATTACTTTAATGAACAACTCATTGCTGGGTGTAACAGTTGATGAGAAATAAGTTGATTCTGTCCCATAAAGTCAGCCTTTCTTCGTGGTGTCTCACGGATATCCTCAAATGTACCCATTGGTTATCTTAACACAGTGCTTAGAAATGGCAAATCATGCTCAGTTAGCTAACAGCACACACAAATGCAAACAATAGAATACAATAAACCCTGTTTTAGATGACAAAGTGAGAAAGGTAGTTAGTAGTATTAGTCAGACTGGTTTACACAAGATGTGATGAAGTCCTCACCTGCGCCAAGAACACAAAATGTTAACATCTGATTGTCAAAACAACACGATATATACGTTGTTTGAACCTGGCAATAAAGGATGGTGGTTTACCAGGAAGCATAGAGTTTAAAAAGTAAAGGGATGTATTACTGGATCACCAGTACAGCATTTTTCAACTCAAAGTAAAACAATGTCACATGAACGCAAAGTAAAACCTCCAGAATGCATAATCTCTTGCAGTTTACAGTGTGTGTGTGTGTGTGTGTGTGTGTGTGTGTGTGTGTGTGTGTGTGTGTGTGTGTGTGTGTGTGTGTGTGTGTGTTTTGGGGTGAAATGCTAGTCAAAGGTGAGTTGGTGGAGTGAGGGGGTTCCCATCTAGTGTACCATAGTCCGTGGTACTCTTTCAGATTATGAGCGTCTGCAGAAGCTGACCAGGATCCTTACAGCTGCTATTATCACTGTCACAAGTCGATCAATCCCAAATACTCCATGTTAAAGTTTATGTGATTACTCAACATGACGTAGTTAACAAAGAATTTCAGCAGCTTTAAATGAAGCTTTGAAATGGAGATTTATATTAGAGCTAATGAATATCACGGCAAGTCAATGGAGGTATGACTTCTATCACATTATCACGAGCGCTTAAAGGACATATTTGACCTTTTGGAGAACAAACTTTTTTGCTTTCTTTGAGAGGGTTGGGTGAGAAGATTGATATACGAGTCTCATCAATGCATCGAAGCTTGAGTCCAAAGGGCACTAGCCTAGCTCAGCATGACGACTGGAAACAGCAGATTAGCAGCTAGTTTAGCTCCATGTGAAGTGAAAAAACAACAAACATGACTAAAGCTTTTTTAATATCACACGTAATCTCTTAGTTTCATTTGTACCCAAGCAAAAAGGAAAAACAATACAACTTTTGCGTGCTGTAACAATTACCGCACCAAATTAACACGTAACTTCCTATATGCTTTTTTTAGTTTTCAGAGCTGAGCTGACTGCGTAATGCTAGGCTACGGACGAGCCAACACATATCAATGATCTTATCTAACTACTGAAAAGTTGGCAAAATCTTAAAGGGCTAAAGAATTTAGAATGATTATGGCCCTGCAAATATATTATCAAGCATAACATCGAGTGTGAGATGGGTAAAGAGGATTGGCAAAGGTCTCTTGCCAAAATAATACAGGGTGCATGACCTATTTTCTGCTAAACCTGCTCAAATGTAGAGGGTCTGAGACTGTTATACCCATGTTTAACACATTTCCATGTGGTTTTGGAGTATATGCTGTCATGATAATCTGACATGTCATGGTGGACACTTTCAAGCTTGAATTTCCTCCTGATTTGAACCAAAACAACTTAAGGCGCACAGAAGCAGCACACATATCCACTCAGCTGGATTTAAAGAGCATCTATAGAGAGGCGAAGTCCCTCCCTTTCCGGGGAGCTCCATGGGACCTTGTTTCCGAAAAAGTATGTATTGAAGTCAATGGAGAGAGAACAATTATCTTTCGATCCCGTTTGAATTGAGCCATGAATTACACAAATGATGTTTGTCAATTTAAAAGATAATTTTGCAAGTCAAAAAATTAAAATGTGTCGTAAAACTGTGAAGTAACACTTTTTTTACTGCTCAATGAACTCTCCCGTCTCGCACCAACACCAAGACGGCCGTCACGTTGAAACATTTCACTTCTTTCTTTCAGAATGAGGCGGAAAGTATAAAAAGAGGTGAAAATCACTCCAAGTCTGGGCGTGTTGAGAGCTGTGCATACACACAAGGGGAGTTTTTTCCGAAATAAGGGCCCATGGAGGTCCCCGGAAGGGGAGGGACTTCGCCTCTCTATTTGATACAGTCTATGGTTGGCGCCAGACATTAGCTCAGACCGAATGGAATATTATTTTTGTGAATGAAGCTTTGAACATTCAAAATAGCTGTTAGAGGTTAAACTACAGAGAGCTGCAGGTTATACAACTCTGGTTTGTTCTCAGTCAAACACATCGTAATAAAGTCATTAAAGGTCTGATAACTGATGCTGACACACTTCCTATCTCGCTCCTGTTGATACTATAGCTACCCTAAATACTATCTTTATGTATACACCTTATCTAGAAATAATCTATTTATTTTCTTTAGAAAAACATTACCCATCTATTCACAGGATGATCAAAGGTCTGAGTCAGTTTGGCGTAAGTGCACGTACAGAAGCATGAGGAGCACATCGATTTAACATGGTGACACTTAGAGTGCACTGTTCATCACGTAACATACTTTCAGTGGCCCTTCCCCTCCATAGATTTCACTATTATTTACAATTTCACAGTCACAAACAGTCGCAGGCAAAGCATTGCACAAACTTTGACAGATAGAAACCCACAATAGTGCTTTATGAAATGTATTGTAGTATACTCAGAAGTCCTTTAGTTTCAGGGCCGTAGAAAGCAATGTTGGGTAAGAAGGCATTCACACCAAATCAGGCACTGCTGCACAATGCATGGTTTTCCCATTCATTGTAATGTTGGTAGTGCGTTTAGGTTGCGGAAATAGGGTCACAAAAAAAATACTTAAGCGTCAACCGAGAGCTGTACAACCCTGACAAAAGATGTAAATAGCTTAGCAGTCGTTTGGCATTACATTTCACCTTTTAACAACGCCACTATGCAAATCACCAGAAACGCCCAATATTTCTTCACATAGGCACTCTTTCCGCAACCCAACAAGGCCCAAATCAGCTCAGCTCACGCTACGCCACATGGCTTAAAAAAGAAAACAATTGCCTATGTATAAGACACACATTTGGAGATGTACACTGGCAAGAAAAAAACCCAGTTGTCAGAAGGAGAACGTTGGAAGCGTGTTTCGGTTGCGGACATAGGAGCGTTTCGCATTAAATGTCACCATTGGTCGGCCAACTGTGGTCCATTTGTGGCCAAATAAGTAACCCTCCCGTTCTCATCGTCAAAAACGCCCAATTTGGTGTGAATGCAGCCTAAACCCAAAGATCTGATCAAGTTTCATGCTTTCTGTTCTTTTCCCAACCCTACAAGGCCCAGCTCATGTAACGCCAGATGGCTTCAGAGACAACTTGCCTATTTAGATACACATTGGGGGATGTACAATGGCTAGAAAACCCCCCCAGTTGTCAGAAGAAGAACCCACACAGAGAAGCACGAGGTGACGAAGTGATATCACTGAGCCTGAGTGACTTGGTTTCGATGGCTGTGAGACGAGGGGGGGGGGGGGGGGCAGTGTTTGGACACAGTTCTCAGTCAGCAGTGGCAGCCCTTTTCGGCGACGGCGGCCGGTACGTCGTCGTCATCGGACGGGTAGAGCACCTTGGCGGTGAGGCCGCTCTTCACCCCGTCCCAGCCGTCGCGGGTGACGATCTCGCCCATGTTCATCAGCTCGTAGATGTCTCTGGTCAGCAGCTCGAAGGCGCGGTCCACGTTGCTATTGCACTTGGCCGACGTCTCCACGTAGCGGATGCCCATCTCGGCCGCCAGCTGCTCCGCCTCGTCCCGGCTCACCTTGCGGTCCTTGCTGAGGTCACTCTTGTGGCCGATGAGGATGTAGACCATGTGGTGCGGCAGGATGTGCTCACTCACCTCCTTGTGCCACTCCCTCACGTGCTCGAAGGTCTTGTGGTTGCTCAGATCAAAGACGAGTAGCCCGCCAACAGAGTTACGGTAGTACGATGTTGTGATGGACCTGGTGGGAACATAAGATGAAGACATGTTAGAAATTGTAGGCAGAATTATGTTGATGTTCTTTTTAAAAAGTCTAATCTGTGGGTTGATTTGATTATTCCTAGCCCTGATCGATCCGAACTCCATTCAGAAAACAAGCATTTTAGAAGTTGTTCGTGTGTTGTCCTGCGGACGGTTTTAAGAGATAAAAGAAAAACCCAATTTAGGACTTAATCCGGAGATAAATCCAAGGGTGTTTCTCAATGTCAAGGAAGGCTGCTCCAGAGCCACTATTTCAAGCATACTACGTCATCGAGTCCCGCCGAAGGACTGTTCCAATGTCCAGGATGCTTGTAATTCTACCGAGGCCGGCGTCCTTCGTTGCGGGAAATTTCGAGGCTGCACATGTGTATCCTCCGTGGTCTTAAAATCCCCACAATGCTTTGCGCACGGACCAATTTCCAAATCTTTGGCAGAAATCGCGCTCCATTTAAGGCGGGGCCTCGCATATGACGCACACCTGCACACCTGTTAGCCCGTTCCACCATTCTTCGTTTTCCGAGGGTAGGAAGGATTCTTGCATCGCTTCTGAAGGACCTGACTCGGAGGGACTTGTCCTACTAAGGAAGCGTCCTCGACATTGAGAAACACCCCAAGTCAGCTAGTCCCAAATTTGTCAAGTTAGCTTAATGTGAAGTCACAGGTCAATAGGGTTAAGTACAAGTCAAATCTGAGGGTTTGTCAAAGTATGAAGTCTTTGGTGAAGTCTCAAAATAAATACAAAAGTACAATTCTAAAAGTGAGTCATGTCATGTCTCAAGTCAGTGTATTTTTCTGAGGTCAATTATTTCCCACGTCTAGAGCTCTGATTAATCCTTTATTCCTTTTCACCTTAATTACTTACACCAGACGTTAATCTAAATGACCAATTGCCAGGATTATAGGATTTTCCACTCCTCTTCAACATATGTCTCCCCATTGAAAAGTACTTCTAGTTATAGTGCATTGTCTATGTTTTCTGTTTGTATCCTGTAGCTTCGAAGCACCCATCAAGTAATGTGCATATCTCATTATATTTTGCCCAGCACCCAAAAAGAACAGTGGGTTTTGAACCAATGCCCTCGTGATCCGAAGACCAGCACTGACACACTGAGCTGCCTCCCTCATATGCATAATGATTCAATAATAAAGGAATTAAAGATCTTTCCAAGACAGGGATTCAAAATATTGACATTGCCTTCCTGGAAATGCATGAGCGTTTTCATTTCAGCTGAATGTAATTGAAGTTAATCAATTGACCACAACCCAGACAGTAAATATGGGATCCTTGGGGAACCTGCCCTCCCCCTCTCTTGAGGCCAGTCTCGCAAAGATCCCTTTAAATCCACGCTTGTGCACACGGAGGTTTTAAATGGCACAAACACTTCACACAGACAGAAATGAAAGTGTGGTGAAGCCTGAAGGAAAACACCCTCTGAAGGTTTGCCTTCAAAAGAGAAATCAGATCTAAGAGCGGAGCTGCCTTTGCACACTGAGAAATCATTTCAAATAAATTATCCGTGACAGCAAGGACACATGAAACAGAACAGCAACAGGCAAAATAAAACAACTAGATTTGAGCATTTGGGTTGCACTGAAGTGGAGTCAGGGAATCAAACATGGGGCCTATGTGAGGAGGCTGCCAATCATCCATGAACAAATGCAATGATGCGACTCGATTTTTATATAGGCCATCATAAAACCGAGGCAGGATTAATCTTCCCCTGACCCTTTTTTACCTCTTTATTGCATCACACTGAAAGAGGGAAATCGCATATCATGTAATTTAATTCAATTGTGTATCTTACAATAGCAGCCACAGCGAACCAATGAGGCCTCTGCATTATTTAACCACAAATCTGCTCGGTGCATAATCATCCTTACATGCATTTTATATAAATGTATTTCTGTTTGTTCGTACCTGAATCGCTCCTGTCCAGCCGTGTCCCAGAGCTGCAGCTTGATTTTCACCCCGGGCTCGATATCAAGCGATCGGGCATAGAAATCTACCCCCACGGTGGGATCCGCCACATCACTGTAGATCCCGTCCGAGAAGCGTTTCAGCAACGACGATTTCCCAACCGTGGAATCTCCGAGTAAAATTATCCTGAATTGGTATTGCCACAAAATATCCATGGCATGACTATAATACGGGGGGATGTGTGTGTGATGTGTGTGTGAAACAAAGCCCTGTGCGCGCGGCGTGTTTACATGAAGCTGCTCTGCTGCCCAGGAAGAGACGCAGCAATCATGTGACAGGTTTACCTACAGCACCACTAGAAACCTCATGCAGCCCTCAATTGTACTGGGTTATAAAAGAGAAAATCTCTATTGTGATTTTAAACTGTGAGAAAACATAATTCAGGTTGTCCCAGACGCATGTAAAGCTGTTATTTAGTCATAACAAGGAATTCTTAATTGTGTGTGCCTTGGTGTTAATGGTGCATTCATAAACACAGAACAAATACATTGTAAGAAAAACAAACAAACCAAATACAAACTATTATAACAGTGATATAAAGAGAAATATTTGCATGATATATGGGTAAACCAGAAAACTACGTCCAGCTGTTTTAAATTAGGTATATTTAAATGTGCAACATATCGCTATCAATCAGGCTTTGTGTACATTGTGTTAAAGTCCAGCTGATTATGATTATATTTAAAAACAAACCATGAATATTCATCATAGCCATGTCATATTTCGCAACTGTCTATTTAGAGAATGACACTGCACTGTGATCTGAAAACAACAAGAGCTGTCCGTGGTTCTGAAGTAGGTAGAGAGGATATAACCGGATGTGGGGTTTATTTCTATCTTTACTTCCTTCTTCTTCGTGAGGCAGATATATGCTTAATATATAATTAAAACCTTTCTTTATGTGGTTATTACTGTTTGACAAATTGACAATAAATCCAAAAAACTGCAAAGGGTTCCGCTCAAAATGCTTATAAAAACACATATCCCATCATGCAGCGGGGTCCATGTGACCTGTATGAACCAATCAGCGAGCTGCTCACTACAACTCGACTTTAGCGTATATTTTGTTCTATATTCATTATATATTCTTTCTTATCATTGTAAAACAAATACATGTTCGGCGAAATCTTAAAATAGTTATTTGTGTTGGTTTTAATCAGGTTCTAACGTGTAAATAAATGAGAAAAGAAAGAAAACTTACCGCTCAAATGCTTGTAAAAAAAGCTCATCCCATCATGCAGCAGGGCCCATGTGAGCTAAATTGACCAATCAGCGTGCTGATGCTTGGTCCATGTGATCTGCATGGACCAATCAGCGTTCTGCTGCTCGGGCTCCAGCTTATATAAACGCACTGGACCCTCCCTTCACTCTCTTTCCGCTTCAAGCCTTCCTAACAGGAGGAATAAGTTCATCTCACTACTCCGGTAAGCTAAATATATTCTTATTAATGTCACAGAAGTGTGTATTTGCTACCTTTAGATTATAGTGAACTGAAAATAAGTATTTCTATCATGATAATTTCGGTCTGACATGCGCTGAAACCAACGAGCTAACGCTAACATTTTTTGTAGCTCACTGACTTATCACGTGGTTCAGTTAGCTTAAGTTAATAGCTATCCTGGCATGTTAATGTAGATTTGTTTTACCAGACATCGTTCTGCCTTATTTTGTAATTAAACACCTGAATATATGATGATGATGCTAGGGTATAATATCTAAGGTTAGCTTAACACTAACACATGTGAACCACGTGTCAATGTACTGCTCCATTTATACTGCAAATGCTTTCTGCATTATGTTTTTCTGCGGCAGTTCAACACACTGGCTTGACTGAACAAATACATTTGTATTAGCAAAAACCTCGTTTAGTAAATATGGAACGATGCTCTTAAATCTGGCTTTTTGTTTTGCACAAAAGCTACTGTGACAATGCTCACTAGTATTCTGACTATTACCCTTTTCAGCACAGAGCATGCACTGACTTTCTCATCTGTTGCTACAGGTTGAACCTGAAATAGGAGCTCTACCTCCTGGGCTCTGCAACCATGGATGTCTGCACAGAAAGCAGGTATGTTTTTATCTCTGTCTAGACTAAATGGTATACATCAGGCTCCTATCGAAGCCGTTCAGGCTCTTCTGTAGCTTAGAGCGGTCAACTGGATGCCGAGAAGAAGACTTCCACCGACGGTCGCTGATCAGTTTAAATATTAACTGTTTCAGCAACATTAAGGGGAAGGACATTTGGGACTAAATCATAAGCTTCATGTGTTTAAAATGTCTTCTGTGCTAATTACTGTGCTCCATCTTTCTGCAGGTCTGCGAAACATGAAGAACATTAAGAAGTGAAATGCAGATACTTTCTGAGTTATATGAATATCGACTCCTGCACTGCAAGTTGGCCCCAGCTTTAATCTGAGAAGTGGTGAGTTAAAGTGCAATGTGTTCACTGTATATACATTACTCTGGGACCAATGATGTTTTTACCAAATCTGTCAATCCCCTGAATCTCTGTGTTGATACTTCCGGTCCTGATGGTCCTCCCTGAGTATTCCATTCCTCATGGTACCTCCCCCAAAGCTCTGTTGGTCATTGAGCCTAATGCCCTTTTCTTCTTCAGGTTGGAGCTCGTCTGATCTCCCATGCCCTGTTCAGGTACTGGGGTACCCCTCCTCCCTGCTGGGGAATAAAGTGGCTACAGTGATGGCAGGGCGGGGTAGGAACCGAGCAGGGTGACCGGAGAGGTCTAAGGTCTCCTCCAGAGTGATCCCTCTCCCCCACAGTCTGAGGTAGAACATCTTGAGTTATATTTCAACTATATAAAGTGGCTGTGATGACAAACTTGCCCTCACTGATTAGATCTGATTGAGACAACTTAGATAACTGAGCCACACTAAGGGAAGGACCCTTCAGACTAAATCAAGGTTAATGCATTGCTGCTCTAACTGCTGTCTCTCTTTCTTCAGGTGTTGGATAACGCTGATGCAGAGAGGAATAAGAAGATGACTAAATCACCTGCAGGTATGTTTTTAAACTAAATCTTAAATATTGATGATTTCTGGCTGTGATGACAAACTTGCCCTCACTGATATGATCTGATTGAGACAACTTAGATAACTGAGCCACTTTTGCTAACAACTAAGCCACTTTAAATAAAAGGTGTTTCATTTAAACTCAGTTTCTGTATCTTTGTTAAGGTGACCATGATGGCTGAGCACTAGGCACTGATCCTGATGCTGCCGTGACTTCATGAGGATGTCTCACTTCAAGGTAATTTAAAATATCTTGTATAAAATGAGCTATTCGCAGCATGCTATCCTAAGGACCGGGGCTTGTCTGTAGCTCTAGGGTTCTCCAAGTGCATGCCAGATAAAAGGTCGGTCTTTGACTGTTCTGGCCTCTTATGCCATCAGCAGCCACTCAACTGTCCAACAGATCCTCACGTCATTATGTAGAAATGCTTACTGCTCAACCACAGTTCTTTATTTTAATGCTGTTCTCTTCCTGCAGGCATCAATCTGCCCATGAGATCTAATCCGATGTCCTTGGGATCCAGAGGCTCCATGTTCCTGCTGTGAGGTATGTAAGGAGATTTGTCTGCATCATTTCATACATTCCTGATCTATGATGAATTTAAAACAAGAGGACTGTTGGATGAAACTCGCGGATATGGGACTGAGATCAGATCTTAAATAATGACCTCAGAACAAATGTTTGAATTTCACTAAATGTAGTTTCTTTGTATTCTCAGGTGCAGTGCGTTGAAGGCAGCAGGAAGATGGTGAAGGAGGACGTAGCGACTGGACAAAGTGCTATATGAGTACAGTCTGAGTTCTCTGTGAAGGATTTCTTACAAACTGACCAGCTGAACGGTTTTTCTCTAATTGTTGAAATAAACATCTTACACGGAACAATTTTGAGAATCCCTTTATTGATATTCTTGTATTTACACATGTGAAGGACATTTAGAGTTTGTGATGAATACGTTTCACAACCCTTGTGGTGCAACAAGCATCCAATGCTTAGTTCAACAAGTTAATACATAACATTAAAAATGATAAAATACTTCCAGACACAGCACATTCTGAGGGCTTGATTTAAATGAAAAAGTTAATGGGTTATTTTTAAAAATCAGGTTGAAATTGTCCTTTATATCCCACTATCATGTCTAGCTTAAATATCAAACTGAAGCACAGGTAACCTGTTTCAGACGTCAGTAATGTGGTCTTTGACTAAGTCTAAGCTTTTAAGTGATTTCCTGCTACTTTGTCACTGCAATGTCAAATAGTTTTAATAAATAGTGACAATTGTATGAACTGGAGTTAAAGAAAATGTAGAACATATCTTGTAACATTGTGACCTCTATAAGCTGAAAGAAAAGCTAAAGTGATGGAGGCAGAGAGGGAGTGGTTGGTTTTCTGGGAACAGGAGTAAGAGCTACCAGAAATGCAATGTTTACCTTTCTGAGGGAAACGGGTAGGACAAATCATAGATTTTTATTTTTTGATTAAATAGATATGAGTTAAAAGATATGATGATTCACACATGTACAGTAGGTGGCGGTAATGCACATTTTAAAGTTGTTTGCAATCCGCCAAAAACCGAGAGAAGAAGAGGTCCTGTTGGTGACAGCTGATTTTGTCATCATGCGCCGCCAATGAGCAACTCAAAGGAATGAATGAGGCCACGCTGTATCCAGGTCCATGCGGACAGCGGCTGTTATCGACCTAAGTTGTTTTGCAATCCGCCGATAAACACCAAACAAGAAGAAGAAGGGACTTTCCGGATTTCAGTCCTAGTAGGCCATCTGTTCGATTGATATTTTTTGCTTTTGTTTGTAAAACGTAATGTCAATATGAGAGATCGTCATGCATTACGATCTATGGTTTACGATGCTTGCAGTGTTTGTCTTCGGTGAGTATCTTAGGGTTCATGACGTACCTTGGCAAAGCTAACTGTATTAGTTTGTTAAAGTAAGAAATATACTGACATATTTGTGCTAGACGTTAGTGTTTTATCAAAACATCTGATACACGACCTCGGCGTCGCACGTGATGGTGCCTCACACGGGAAGCGGAGATTCAAACTTCAACGGTTTCATTTATCTTTACTCCCGTGACTCAAACTACACGCGGTACCACGCACTAGGTACACAAACCAACTAATCTGATTACAGTTACTTTCGTAAACCTGAAGTGAATACATTTTGGAATACTTATTGGAATTATTGGTGGAAAAGTTTCCTCACAAAATGTAATATTCATTACCGGGAGAACTGTGTGCACAGCGCAGCAGCATGTCTGTGAGGCCTCGCTCCCGCACGCAGATGAGAGAGAGATATCTTTTTTAATATATTGAAGGTTAGAAACGGAGATGGTTCGATAAAACGTGCAAGATAACGTTTATGTAGCATTTCTTTATTGTCGAAATTATGACATTTCATAACGGGATAAAATCAAAGTGAATGGCCTGCTGCTGCTGAAGGCATGGGGCAAAGATAACTGTCCTTTGCCTAATTTATAAAGTAAACCTTAGCATCTCACTAGCAGTGGCAACTGCAATCAGTTACAGCTGCCCTAAGATTGTAGCCAAGTCTAATAACACCAGTGTACACGTTGCTGTGTCAATACAGATATGTATTTGTTAATAATTTGTCTTTAGTCATAATACACCTGGTTTATCGTAACTAGCAGAGTTGAGTAAAGTTGGAACGATATTGGCAGATTCAAATTTAACGGATCAATAACTCATGAACAAAACGTTGTTCAGACACAAAGTACGTCTCCTAAGTACCGTGGTAAGGTTGACAACGAACTACAATCACGTTTTGATCAAAAAAAGTGTCCTCCAAACTGGACACATTGCATTGGTCTCTATCCGTAGCCGGAGAAGAAACGAGTGCTCAGGGACCGTCTGCAAAGTGCAACTCCAAAAAAAGAGAATACAATAATATTCAATAACGTTACTATTATACAGTATAATACTACCAAACTCACTACACTAGTGTTGTCACGATACCAACATTTTGGTTTCGATACCGATACCAAGTCAAGAATTGCGATTCCTATTCTTTTTCGATACTTTTCTAAAAAAAAGGGAAACAGTCTTAAATGTAATTATTGTGCTTTATTTCACACCAGAACCATAACGCAAACTTTTAAACAATGAGAACAATAAACAAAATAAATGACAATAATTCGTATTAAATAAAATTAAGCATCATCTCAAACAACTTTTTTGTTTTATAAAATGTAATTTTTTTAATATTTTATTAACATGTAATAGTACAGTAATATAAATAATTATTGACAAAATGTATATTGCAGATGTTAGCCACATTGGTAAGTTAGCTAAAAATATAGCCATATTAGACAGTTATCATTGCCATTAATTGCCTCGTCAAACTACGAAAACGTTCGTTTGTCACAAAATAAATTACACTTGTTTGACTTAGATTTGAGGGCATGGGATTGAGCATGATGTAATTATGTTATCTATCACATTCGCTAACCTGTGTCTGTCTTTAAATTCTTTAAACAGCTCTGGATTCCGGTCGGCGGGTGCTTAGCCAAGTTTGATGTGTTGGCTCCCTTGGTTTGCAGGGATCTAAAACATTTCTCACAGACAGGCCTCGTGGTGTCCGTAGGCTTGCCCTCACTGTCAGAGATATAGCTCAAATACTTCCAAATTTCGCTTCTGGCATCTTTCTTGTCAACAAGCCGAGGCGCAGCGGCAGTTGCACTCTCACTTGCAGCCATGCTTCTCGTTTTCTCACATGCTCTGGCAGCTAGAGCGTGGCCGCGTGAACGAGAGAGGGGAGGGACTTAGAGCGTGCTTGAGAGGGGAGGGACTGCAGGCACGGCTGCAGTGCAGGGAGTGGAAGCAGAGCGCTGAACACACACGGCTCTTATTAAAACTGCGCTTTCTCACCGGAGTACTTTTCCCCGTCATTCTTAAAGTACTGATACTAATGAAACGGAAGAATCGTACCGTTTTTAACGGCAGGGTATCGCGGTACCTTTCAAGTATCGGTACACCGTGCAACACTATACTACACACATCAATAGTCTCCTGGTGGTCATACTACAGCAGAGAGTTTGGAAGAATATGGTTTGGAATAATTTTGGTGAATATTTATAGTGTATTATAACATACTGTATATACAATGTGTAACATTGTATATACAGTATGTTATAATACACTATAAATGTGTGTATGTTATAATACACTATAAATGTAATGTTATAAATGTTATATATAAATTAAGACATGAAACAACTTTTTCATTAGCTATGAAACAGTAAAATGGTCACAATCTTATGGAGGACCCAAATGCAGCACTCGAGAAACCAAGGAGTATTGGTAATGAACTTTATTGGTAATAATACCAGAGCAGAGGGATAACAGAACAGTATCAGCCGGATGATGTGTAGGTAAACGAACCAGAGGACAGCGGGCAGAAGGTGAGTCAGGGCCGGGCAGAGGGTCAGGGAGCAGGCGGGGCGGTCAACGTAGGTACAGGCAGGGTCAGGGATCAGGCAGAGCAGGCAGGGTCGGAACCGGGTAGGCAATCTGGTAACAAACGCGTGAAAGACTAGCATGAAGGCAAAGTACGATCTGGCAACGGGTGTGTGTCTGGTGAGGGTTTAAATACTGGCAGTAAAGCTAATGGGTGCAGAAGAGAAAGAGAGTGAGCAAAAACGTGGGTGTGGTTAACAGGTGAGACAGGTGAATGGAAAACTACTGATGAATGATGGAGCAGACTGTGACAAAATAAAGTTAACATTGAAAAATAAAACATTTCAGGTTTTTCACCTACGTACAATATTAATGAACAAATCTACAATCTAATGTCAGACATGGAAAACATCGTGAACATCTGTGACTACTTTAATCTGTAATTGAAAATATATGTAACATCTTAATTAAGAATATAACAATTTAAAACTATGGACAGGTGATTATTAATCATTACTTCAGTTGCCCAACATTTTTAGAAAAGCTTTTTTCTGGATTTTTGTTTGTTTTGTACAAAATTCAGCTTTCATTTAGCCGATTTCAAATCACTGGCTGGGCTGGATTTTCCCCCACATGCCGTTTGTAAGTGCACTACTTCTACTGTGGCAGTAGTTACTACAAGCCTTACCTCCCCAAATCCTGGTCCTCTGTAAAAGTGACACAAACTCACCTATAGCCTCTTTAGTTTGGGAGGATGCACAAAACACAATACCACGGGGTCTTTTTTTTGGGTATTCGTGCAGCCAGGGCCGCCCCTCCCTGCAGGCCAATCACGCAGGCTGCATGGGGCCCCGCCCAGAGGGCCTCAGCTGCTGTGCGCAGTTCTCCGCTCAGTTCTCCACGCACCCCCCGCGAGAGTGTGACGGCCCGTCCACACTACAGCTTCGACAGCTTCAAAAACGGTTTCCAACGCGTCTGCCCATTCACTTTGAATGGGGTGACGTCACGTTGCCTCGCTTTTCGCCGAACTGAATTGTGGGTAGCATAGCGGTCCGTCTCCGGCGTCAGAAGTTGAACAGAAGTTGACGCCGGAGACGCCGGAGTAGCCAGCGCCAGCCAATCAAATCCCGTTTCTGAAAATCTGACAGCTCAAGCCCTAGCCAATCAAACCGCGTCTAAGCTGGGAGAGATATCCCGCCGTTCATTTCTATATTTCAAAAAAAGATGGAGGAGAAACTAATTATCGCCGTAGCAAATCACCCGGTTTTGTATGAGCAGACCCTCTTCACCTACCGGGATACAAACCGGAAGAACCAGGCATGGAGGGAGGTGGCAGAGACAGTGGGTGAAACTGGTAGGTTTTCGCCTGTTTGGGGAGTTTATATATATATATATATTGCTCGCATAAAATCCCCGGGGTTTTTTGCTTTGTATGTCGGGGGCGGGAGATTCATGTGATTGGATGCTCCGAGAGATGACAAGGGGAGCATGTCTGTAACCCGACACCGTTGTAATGTATCGACATCTGACTAATCACGGCTTTGATACGGCCACCAGTGCAGGTGAAGAGATGTCGGTGAAAAGACAGTTTCAGTCCGGCACAAAAAACAAATCATGAAGAAACTAGAGCGTCACTCGAAGGTGGGATATTGTATGAGTCAAATGTACAACTTGCGAATGTTGTATAAGTCAAATTGCCAATTGCCATATTAAAACATCAGCTGCAATTCACGACATGAAGAAGGCAGTCTCTGCATAGCATATAGGCTAATGGAGATGCAGTTATTTCCAGCATTCTTTATTTACCATTCATTCAAGTATGTGATGCCTTTTATCTGCTAATGTACAGGAGGAAGAGTGATACACTGTCTGTCTAGTTGGCTTACATAACAGTTAAAGTTTACAGCCTAAAAAACATGGAGCATTTTTTCCCCTTTTATTCATTTTTATGTCAATTTGCACATTTCATGGTGATGCTCAGCCTCTCCCCTTAACTCCTAACAGCCATCATCATGTCAACCACAACACAGAGAAATACTGATAGAAATGTGTGTGTAGTTGTTGGTACATTGCTGACAGAGGGAACTACATTTGAAAACAGATTTAAGAAATATCATTTTTTTTGTGTGCTGGAAACGCTGTAGTACATATGCCAGGCCTGTAAGTGGCGCTGCTGTCGCCACAAAATACACCAAAAGCAGCGAAGAAGACCCCGGAGCATGGTTGTCATGGTTGCCCTTCTGTTTATTCTCCGCGTTGGACGGCGTGTTCTCCTGCTGTATATTTCTCAGGTAGTCCACCAGCAGATAAACCCCCCCCCCCCCCCAAAAGCTGGTTAAGAGTCTCTGCCGGTACCGCCATCTCCGGCTCATGTCCTCTCTGCTCGCATTGTTTGCCTGAGATGGTGGAAGCAAAGTTTTTGGTGGTAGAGAGGTTAGTCTTTTCCCCACCAGGAA